GCACCCGAGCCGCCGACCGCATGTCCGATTTTCCCGGACATGTCCGGGAAAATCCGGACGTATGGTAACCCTATATCTCATAAGATTCAGATCTAATTTTGAAGAAGTTCAGGAATCACACAACTAATGAAGATTTTCAGAATGCTAAGGTATTTTGCTTTATGCAGGGCCTCCTGCTGACATCCTGGCTCGTGTTTTCTTGTATAATGCTTTACTGCAGCATCCACTTCTGTTTGAAAATAAAAGAGTAAGGTCAAAGCAAAAATGCTTTAAAAGAAAATTTTCAGTGAAACTGTATTTTCCTTTAAAAATACAAAATGATACACAGTGTAACCCCAGTGAAACTGTTCCATAGTCAAGCCAGAAGGAAATTTGCTATAAAAGGATTCAATGTTTCCTGTGCTTAACCGTTTAAAGAGGGACTCCCACATGTGGTTAACATGAGATAAGTACCAATATATTTTGCCATTTTTCAATGTATCTTCCTGATTCTCTGGGTAACTGTGATTTATGAATAACCTCATCTGTCACAATCTACCTTTGCCTTCTACTTGATGCTACATTAATCCAGTTCTGATAACATCAGAGTTTGTATCCATGGAGAAGACTGTGATACCAAAAACTCACCATTCACTTTCTCCCTGGATTAATTAGGTGGAAGAACTGAGCTATGAGAGTGGAACCTTTAATTTAAACCCAAATATACAATACTTTGACAACAAACAAGAATTGCAAGGGATTATTCACAATATCTTAATTACTGTATTTATATTAAAGTAGAATACATCAGAAAGTTCCATCCAGTATGAAAATCAAAAATTGATTTTTAGAGTGCAGATTTTCTAGAAATAAGGAAATGTGACAATTGCTATTCTTCCCGATTAAGGAGGTTAAACTCCATAGGTAAAATAGTAACTAATAATTCAGTTTATTCCTGAAGATGTTAATGAGAGAGGATGTGTATAGTGAAGAAGCCACCCAGAATGCCATGGTATATTTTATCTCTAGTGATCAAGCTTATTTCTTATCTTATGAATACTTTAATCTAAGATTTTGTCCTGTAACTGTAATCTTCTTCCTTTCTTTTTGTCTTTGCAGCTGTTTTGGAAAGAATTATGATTTAGATTTTCCCATTTTAGCCATGGATGTTGCATTTAGCCCCATGAGGTCACAAGAACTGGATCCCATGGCTACTGATGCATCTCCCATGATCATAAACATGACTCCCACTGTAGAGCAAGACGGTGAAGAAGATGCAATGAAGGAGCTTGATTCTGACCAACAGTATGAAAAGCCTCCCCCACTCCACACAGGGGCAGACTGGAAGATTGTTCTCCATCTGCCTGAAATTGAAACATGGCTCCGGATGACATCTGAAAGAGTCAGGGATCTGACCTACTCCGTCCAGCAGGACTCAGACAGCAAACATGTGGATGTACATCTAGTGCAGCTAAAGGTAAGATAAAATTCATATTTCATACCAGCCACATTTCAGCTTTATAAATATAAGAAACTCCCTACAGTCAGCTACTGGCACGTGCTGAGGAAAGAGCGTCAAAAATTGCCCAATTGCATGTGATGACTCCTCTCCCAAAAAAACCCAACATCCTTTTCTAGGGGAAATGGAAGGTGTGTAGCACTCAGTATATTTGTAGATTCTTCATTAACGCAATAAACCTATCAGATGTATTCAACATGTCCAAACTGTATGGGTACCTAACCTAGCACTAACTGAGGACTGGTCCCAAAGCCCACTGGAGTTAATGAAAAGATTCCTAGTGACTTCAATCGGCCTTGAATCAGGCCCTAAAACTCTCAAGATTGTGTACCAGCATGCATTCTCTCATGTAGTACCCTCAGTGACCACTTCTATTGTGGTTCTGAAGTCCTGGCCCCCAGTCCTGCAGAAACTTACATCCATGTTTGATTTGAAATGGGACTATTCATGTGCGTCATATTAGACGGGTGTAAAACTTTGCAGGTTCTGGGCCTTGGTAAGGAATATGTAATGATCAGATTTATAAGCAGCACAACCAGTAAAACAACAAGTTTATTTTTGAGAATAAAATTGTATTTACATACATGGACATACAAAAACAATTCTATAATAGGTCGTCTTTAAATAAATCATTTACAGTGTGTCACACTGTTAGTTTTAAATTTCAACAGTCAATTTTTAAGATATTTTAAAGAAATACAGGGTAAAGTATAAGAGAACATTCTGTATGGATGGAAGTGCTTGTGTGCATGGCTTAGTCTGCCGCAGCAGATTAAGCATGTCTTTGAAGACACAAAACAACTTCCAAAAATAGCAAACGAACGTTATCTCTTCAGACTGAGCTGTCTTCAGAGTTCTGCATTCTGAGGCCTGTGATAATACATTATGCAAACCTAGGATTCTTTGGCACTCACTCTGCATTATGGTTTTCAGTACACGTTTAGTATAAGACTAGGACGTTAGGAAACCTTGAAAAAATTATTCCATGGGCTAGTCCATTGCCTCTGTGGTTAATGCAGAGCACAGCACTAACACCACAGAGGGAACTGGTCTTCATTTTTTGCCTCTGGCATCTCAGGCAAGCAAATGTAGGCATCACTGCAAAGGAAACATGCTTAGCCCCTGAAGAGGTAGAGTGCCTCACAACTCACTGCAGTGGCCCTTGTGAATAGTCTTAGGAGAAGCCCAGCTGCCTCAGCCAGAGTTGTTTTGAATTGAAGGAGGAAAAGGGTAAAGTTCAAACTGTGGCTTAAAAGTGGGATGCTCTTGTATAGAAAATCTCTCTCTCTCTCTCTCTCTCTCTACCCCACAAAAGTGTATTATTCCTTAAAGTAAATGTTCCCAAATTGTGGTCTGTGGACCAATGGTATACCCTCAGAGTGGGATGGTGACATGTTGTTAGTTCTTCACCTTTCTAAATGCAAAAGGATGGCAAAAATTCATTAGGTATCTTATTACTTTCCATCTAAGTAGTTGCTATATTTGTCACAGGGATCGTATGTGATCAGCAAGAGGGGTGTTCCATACAATCACCAATGTGGAGGCAACATGTTCCATGAGACAATCTCTTTATTAATATGAGGTCCACACTATTAAAAAAAAAAAAGTTTGAGAACTCCTGCTCTAATGATTCCCATATACAAAGCTATGTATACATTATATAGATGACCTTAAAAGTATCAAAGATTGCTTTCCTTTTTTTACTACTTTTATGTATTAAGAAGGCCAGGGAAAGGGTGTGTGTGTGTGTGTGTGTGGTTTTTTTTTTAAATATTAGAAATTCAGGTGTTGTATAGCTTGTTTTCCTTGAAGACTATGCTCAACTGTAAGATTAATCAGATTCTGATATCCTAGATGCCAAGGAAGCAACAAGTCACTTTTATTCAGACTTGATTTTTTTTTATTTTGTTTATTTTTGTTAATATCTGATATCTACCATCTAACAACAAACAGTTGGAAGAAAAGTTATTATTTGTATTATTGTAGCACCTAGGATCCAGAGACCTAGACCAGGACCCCATTATGCTAGGTGCTGTACAAACACAGAACAAAGAGAATTCCAGCAACAAAGAGTTCACACTCAAACTATCAAACAGGAGAGAACGAATGGATACAGATGGGGGAGTACAAGGAAACAATATTAGTCAGAAGGCGAGGCAGTGGTCTCAGCACACCAGTGGTCAAGTTTTTTGTAGGAATCATGGAAAAAAGAGTTTGTAGGAGGGAGTTGAAGGACAACAATGAGGTACCTTTGCAGATGTTTACAGGAAGCTCATCTCAATGTGAGGTGCGGCATGGGAGAAAGCATGAATGTGCATTTTTGGTAAGTTAACGAGGGTCAATGGAGGCTGGCATTGTGGGCTGATAGCAATTAGGAGTCAACATGTCGATAGTGAATGAAAGACAACTGGTAGAGCGGGGATAGGCCATGGACAGCCTTGAAAGCAAAGAGAAGTGTCTTATCTTTGATGTAATACAGAAAGAGGGGCCAGTGGACGGATTCAAGAAGAGGGGTGGGTAATGTGGTCAAAGTGATGGGCTGGGAAAATTTATCTAATGCAAGACTGCATTTGTCAAGGCCAGGGAAAAGGATATTGCAGTAATCAAGACCTGAGATGATGAGAGCCTGGACAAGAGGTTTTTAGCTGTGTGTATGTATATCAAAGGCCTTATTTTAGAGTTGTTGGCAAGATTTAGACATAGCTTGGATGTTAGGTGAGAGAGGGAAGTCCAAGTCACTAATGATGCCCAGATTACTGTCTGGATGACAGGCAGGATCTTGGTGTTGTCCAGAGTGATCAAGAAAGGAGGTTGCAGGGTTGGCTTGAGAAGTGGGGGAGATCAAGAGCTGTATTTTAGCCATGATAGCTTGAGGTGATGACTGGGTATCCACGAGATGTCAGAGATACAGGTCAAGGCCTTAGTTTGCACAGAAGGAGACATGTCTGGAGCAGAGAGGTAGATGTGAGAGGTGTTTTTTTGGTTAAGAACTCAGCATTTTCGAAAGAGCACATCATTCAATATCCTGAGCTCTTTAAGAAATTTGGCCACTGAAGTGGGAGTTGAGCCCTTCTAAAAATTCCAGCCTCTGCGCCTCAGTTTCCCCATAGAAAATAAATAAACATTTGGACACATAACTCTCATGATGAGTGTGTGCAGATACAATGGGGTGTACAAATGGGAGGATGTTTGAAAATGTGGATCTTTATGTTGTTGAGTGGTGGCAAGTAGATTTATTTTAAAGGAGATATATGAAACTACTACAAAAAAAATATCCAGAGGTGGAGCAGTAATCTCCAGTACTGAGCAGGTTCATTTAGTATGTAGTCAGTCACTGAAGTGCTGTGTAGTTTTAAGGTTGCATATACTGAGCAATGTTAGTAATGCTAGTTGTATTACCATATATTATGTTTTTTCTTTGATTTAAGAACCAGGTTCATTTTAAAGGGTATCATAGGCCTAGAGCAGGGGTGGCCAACCTGAGCCTGGGAAGGAGCCAGAGTTTACCAATGTACATTGCCAAAGAGCAACAGTAATACATGAGCAGTCCCCCATGAGCTTCTTCTCCGCCCCCCCCCCCCCCCGCCCGCCTCCCACCCACCGGCAGTCCCGCTGATCAGCGCCTCCTTCCCTGCATCTCCGGATCAGCTGTTTCATGGCATGCAGGAAGCTCTGGGGGGGAGGGGGAAGGAGTGAGGGCACAGCAGGCTCAGGGAAGGGGGCAGGAAGGGGTGGAGTGGGGGAAGGGGCTGTAGCAGAGCCAGAGGTTGAGCAGTGAGCACCCCCCTGGCATATTGGAAAGTTTGCGCCTGTAATTCCAGCCCCGGAGTCGGTGCTTATACAAGGAGCCGCATATTAACTTCTGAAGAGCCACATGTGGCTCCGGAGCCACAGGCTGGCCACTCCTGGCCTAGAGTCACAGATTAAATGGGGCTATTGGGTATGTGAAGTACTTGGCCAGGGCGTCATCACCCCTTTCCAGCCCCATGTCTTTTGGGGTTATGTAACTATAAAGGCTAGATTCAGACTTTATTTAAAAAAATAAAAATCTTCAGCCAATTTTACTATGAAAATTGCCTTGAAAATGTAATCATGGTAGAAATTTTGTGACTATTCCTAACAACTATGGAATAATCACTCCCTGCACCCCATGCACCGTGGCAGGCCTGAGAAACGGCACACCATCCACTTTCGTGGCCACACAGCAGGAGATTCAAGTGTCCTTCAGAGTATAAAGCACTATGAGGAAGAATTTTTTTAAAGCATTGGCCTAATTCTACTTCTGTTGGAGTCCATATGATTTCTATGATTGCTCCCACTCAAGTCAAAATTAGGCTAATGCTGACTAGGTTTTGAAATCCTACCTTACATCTGACATTACTAATAACGCAGTGTTGTAAGCTATTTACTGTGGAATACCCAAATGTGTTATAGACCATCTGGGGGCATTCTGATTTGGAACACCAGATCAGAATTTGTCTTCAAGCTTTTGTGTCCAGCTGGATCCATAACATCATAAATATCAGTTTTTTCTTACAGTATTTGAAAGTGAAAATTGGATCCTGCTTCACCCTGACCAGGCATCTTCCCTAACTCCTATGCTCCACAGTCTTCAGAAGTTGCAAACTGGCTACTTCCTTACTGCCTCTTCCAGGAGGTGGCCAGGTCTATTTGTCACCCTGTTATCTCCAGGCATCTTCCAGAGGAGGTAGTGGGCCTGCACCTCCCCTCCTCAAAAAATACACAGAGCACAATAGGCTAGTAGCCATGCATGTGCTTCTGAGCTTCATAGTTCCAGTCAAGAGTAGACTGTGTACTTGCTCTGTATATGTGGTGGGCTGAGCATGCTACCATCCCCAAAGAACCCTGGTAGACTAGAGGATAGCAGCAGCCTGACCTGGCAGTCCTCCTGTAACCTCCATGTCCTACCCACCTACAACCTCCCTACACATACACAC